GGGGGGAATGTTGTACTGCTCTGGGTCAGGCCCTGTGCTCTCCACAGAGGGTCTAGCTGTCTTTGGTTTGACACCTACTGGGGCTGGTGAGCAGGTTGTGTAAATGCACAGATGACCATTGAAGAACAACAGTCACAAGTAAGCAACTTGACTTCCTTCATGGTCTCGTATGGGCAATTCTTCATATGGGCAACTAGTAAGCCTACCCTGAAGAGGATGGTGGGATGGTGTCATCACGGGAAGGTCATGGGTAGGACTGCTCTGCCAAATGGGCAGTCTGCCCTTGCCTGGACGTTTAGCCTGTAGGGGTTGCAAAACATTGAAGATGTGGACCATGTAACTGCTCTGCAAAAGTGCTGCAAAGAAATTCCCATGAGGAGCATTGTGGGCATCATTGTCACTCATGTGGAATGGACTCTTGGATGGGTCAAGAGTTGTAGGCTGGCCAGCTTATAGGCTGGGGATATGGAGTTTATGACCCTAGGCTGCTGGTCTCTGAGCAGATCAAGGAGGGCTTTAGCCTCTTTTTGGAAAAGTGTGTGCAGAGGTTGGAGGATTTGCTCAATCATGGTGCCCCATGCTCTTTACACATGGTGGTGAATGCCTGCCGTTTGATTAGGTAAGACTTTCTCACTGATGGTTTCAAGGCAACATCGAGGGGGTTTCTGATACCCTGTGGCAGAGTATCAGCTATGAAGAGTTTATGATGTAATGTGCCATGATGTGAGACTTAAGAGGAGTGGAGGATTTTGCCTCCATTTCATGATAGAAGGCCTGAGTGGAGGAATGGCCTGTAGTAAAGCCATAGAAGGCAAGCAAAGCATGAAGATGCATTCTGTTGCTGAGTTGCCATTCATGCATGTCAATGCTCCTGCAGTTGAGTGCCTGCTTGACAGGGATTGGGGCCACTCAATGGTTCCAAGGCCAAATGTTAGTCTCCTTTTGAACTAGGGAAAATGGCTGGGCCCCTGCTTATTTATACGGTACAGTGGTACCTCGGTTCATGAATTTAACTCATTCCACGATTCTGGTCATGAACCGAATTGGTCACGAACCGAATCAAATTTCCCTATAACGTTCAATGTAATAAGGTTAATCCATTTTTTAAAACCACAAAAATATGAGCCATGTCCCTGGGCTGCAGGCCAAGCCGTGGCTGCCTCGCCAAGCCCGGAGGCGGATAGGCCGAGGCGGAGTGGGAGTGGGGCCACGACTCCCACAGCTCTGCCGCGGCCTTCTCAGGGCAAACTGCCGCCGCCATCAAGCGGCCACCATCTTCTTCCTCCCACGGCGGGGAGAGGCAGGAGGCACCCTGCTTGGCTGGCTGCGGCCCTGTCCCTCGCCTCAGCCTGCAGAAAGCAGCCATTACCTCCCTCCTTGTGGCCCTCTCCCAGCCAGGGGAGCCGCCCCGCACCCGCCTCTCCAGCCTCCTGCTCCCCCTCCCAGATGGGATAGCTCAAGAAAGCCGCGGGAAGTGGTGTGGGGAAGTGTTCGTCACCCAATGTGGAGTTTTGCCGAACTTTCTGAATTGTTCACGAACAGAAGCGTTTGTGAACTGAGGTACCACTGTACTAGGGAGAAGGGCGTAGGGCTCCCACCAAAAATACCGAGCTTAGCTAGGAAAATCTTCCCGAATGCAGGCACTGCACAGCTGCAGAGCCCATACGTGTCAATGCACAGATGACCACTGTTTTTCCATGGGAGGTCGTTGAGGCCCCATTGGTGAGGGCGTTCAAAGATAGGCTGGACATGCACATGGTGGGCATGTCATGGGCAGAGCTGGCTGGAGCCAGGGGTCAGACTAGATGGCCTGGGAGGCCCCTTCTGACTCGCTATGTTTCTATGTTTCTCCCCCTCAGTGCACCCGTGATTGCGCTCGTCTCTCCCCCTCCCCACCAGCATGCCAGGATGACGGGCACGTGCAGGGATGGCGGGCACAATCACGGTCATACGGGGGGGGGGCAGGGAAATGGCCGCGCTCGTGCTCAGGGTGGGGGGGGGGGGGGGAGATGGATGCAATCTTTGTTGTTGTCATTTTGCTCCACATTTTTCTGATTAAAAAAAAGTTACAGAACAGATTAACCTTATTTACATTGAACCTTATGGGGAAATTTAACTTGACTCACAACCAATTTGGGTCACGACCAGAGTCCTGGAATGGATTAAGTTCATGAGCCAAGGTACGGGCGGGGGACGGGGGAGGGGCCCTGCGGCCTTCAAAGCGCCCACCACAACCACTGTGGTGGAATCCTTGATGTGGCCCAGCCTCACCCAGACTCTACTTCCAGCGGCCCCCCCAGGTAAGTTGAGTTTGAGACCACTGTTCTAGAGCATTTTGGTGCTGCTCCAGGAAATGTTGTGAACTTCTCAGAGAGCTTCATCTATTGGACTGCATAGAAATAAATCAAATTCAGAGTACTAAAATAATTTTGCTCAGTATCTATGGTGGGGTCCCCAACCTATTTGGACCAAGAAGCACATCAGGGAATTTGGGAAGCTGCTGTGGACATTACCACAATGCCTAATTAGTGGATCACTACTTTGGCATCTGTCTACTGCACTGATGAATCCTAGGCTGTGTCTTATTGGACACCACAATGTCTAATAAGGGATGATCTGATTTGGCTAATTCTCTGCAGTGCAAAACAACTAATGTTTCTTATAAACATCTGTTTTAGCAATGTCCAGTGGTTGCTTCTTTTGCGGAGGAGGTTCTCAGACTAATAAATTTTGTACTGGAATTCACTGACATACACATGTTTAGATTATTTACCTGCTTCATGAAACTTAACAAATAGTCACCATAAATGGATTCTTTTTGCAAAAACTAAATATTACTAGACTGGAAAGAGGAATAGTGTCATAGAATGGACTGAGGACTTACAACTCTTTCAATATTTGGGTGGCATATAGATGGATGCTTAATTGGGTATTTGGCCCACTTCTGTTGAAGCTGATGTACAGTTGCTAGAAAGAAGTATTTGATCTATATTCCTTAGTATGGATATACACAAATTCATCTACATATTTTAAGAAAACAAATAGGGTAAAATGCATTTTTGAACACTTATGTTACCTGCAAGTGCCATATAAGAGACCCTTAATTTATATGTTCATCATGCCTTATTTCCCCTTTACTTTTATATAGTTGGTCCCACCTATCATTTTATTCATAATGAATGGGAGGGGTTTCAAAGAAGTTTCATTTCCCAGACCCTTACAGTAATTCAGTCCCACCACCTTCATGCTATGATGATCCCTGTTGCTGGAGATAAGACTTGGTCTGCTGACTCTCTCACTAGGGCAAGAATGTCTATATTGTTTGTGACCCATGTCTGCAGTCCGTTGAGGCTATCTCTATGCCAACAGCCATGGATGGTAGGCTTCTGCCTCTAGATAACCATCAGCCTGGCTAGCCAGCACCTTTTAGATTTATTTTTGCTTTCATAACAGAAGCTTGATAAAGAGTTGGATGCTTCCAGTGTGTTATAAACTAGATGATCTATTGCATTTTTAGGAATTAATTCTAATCCATTGTGCCTTGCCATACCATAAACTCAGCTGTGAATAATCCTTAAAACATCACCCTCTCATTTCTTTATAGCACTTTAAAGATGCACCATATTTTAAGATTTTGAAATGCTCAGTAAACATTCCAGGAAGAATGACAGAAATTACACCACACCAACGTTGGCAGTGGCAGGCAGATGGCCCGATTATTGGTTAGCTGTCTGGAATGAGCAACCAAATAGGTGTGACCTGAACTGCACATCCCATTGGGATTGGGATGGAAATGGAGTGAGGAGGAGCTGGGGCAGTTACACAGGAAGGTCAGTTGGGGACAGAAGCACCTGCAAGCCAGGAATTGCACTGAGCGGTTGGAGGTGCAGTAAGGAGGAAGCTGGCAGCAAGGCAGTCAAGTAGAGAACGAAGTTGATAAGAGGAACAGTAATATAGACGCTTTACTTAGTGGTCCTACAGCAGGTATGCAGCTTTAAAATTACCATCTGTATTCAGTTGTGAAGCACACAACTTATCCTTTGCAACTGTTTCTACATTTCTGATGTGCAAAAACAAAATCCTCTATTACCTCTGATTAAAGAAAGACTCAAAACATAGTGTAGTTTTGTAGTTTCAAGTGTAGTTTTACATTTGAAACATACTTAAGCTATAGTGCCATGGCAATTGCTGGAATAAGATGGAGTTTTCTCATCCTACGCTGATGTGCAACCAGTTTAGTTGGAAATAAGCACTATTTTGTTCTAGGAAGGGGTAATACATTTTTAAAGCAGGAACGCACGAACAGGAACTAAGTGTCAGGCTGGGGGAGCCGTAAGAACAAAGTGAGAGAGCTTGACCTGTCTGCAGGTCGAGGGAATCCACTACTCTCCACAAGGGTGAATTGTGACATCATCAAGTCATATGCCATGTGGTCTTTATTTCGATGTGGGGGATAAAATCAGTGTGACCCGGTCTTGGCATGAACGAAGTAGGATTTATTCAGTTCTGGGGATAACCAGACTACTCCAAATACAGTGCTTTATTTTCTATCCTATGCACAGTTAGACGAAAAAAAACATGACTTGGCGGAGGCATGCTGGGAGTTGTAGGCCTTTTTCTCTCTAAACGTGAATAGGGTTATGCTCCTAATCACTAAACTGTACTGGAAGAAATCTTGTGCTTGCTCATGTGAATTATTTTATGCGTAAATCAACTGCTTAAAAAAACCGTATCACTATACGTCGTTGCATATATCTCAAGTCCACATTTGTCAAAGATGAAGGGGTTCATCCCTCATTCACCCTCGCCGACACTCCCTTAACTTCAAGTCTTGGGGAAAACGTCGCTCTTAGCATGCGTTGGATCAGACTTTAGTGTAAATGTAAGAACCTGTCAAAACCAAAAGTTCCAAGATGCAATTCGACGGTATTATCGCGATACTGTCTGCAGACTCTCATATCTGGCTTCCTTGCATCTCGTAAATTAATGGTTGTTAATTAAACACTGCAGTTCTAGGAACAGTTACTAAGGAATAAATACATCCAAAGCAGTGGACCTTGCTTCCGAGTACATATCGAATCAGGCTCAATTTTTTTTTTGCAAAGAGGGTGGGGCTGCGCACTTCAGTGGAAACAAGCCCCATTCAGTGAAGCGACACTTGCAGCTGAATGAACCAGGAGTCGTTCGGATCGCGGAAGTAGTCTACGTGCGTGTCTACTCTCAATTAGGTCCCAGTGACTTTAAAAAGGCTTGCTCCCAAGTGAGCGTGCATAGACTCACAACTGCAGATTGTAATTTTGTGCACACGTAAGTCCTGTCGTGTTCAGGAGACACCGACTTAGGCTGCAAGCGCCGACAGAATCTGAGTTGCGGTTCCGCTCCAAAGTGTTGCTCACACATCAGCTGACGGATAGGTGTCGCGTGAATCTGATTTTGCCGAAATTCGTTCGTCCTTTTGGAGTTGTTGCTGGATATTTCTTTATCTGCCCGTTGCGGTTTCTCCCGTTATCTGCAAATACAGTTTAAGGGGGAAGCTATGACAGAAGTGAAAAGAAATAACTTCGGGGAATGGCCGCATGGCGGAGGGGCTGTGGAAAAAATCCTGCTCAGATCAGACTCAGTTAAAATGGAAGTCATATCTTTAGGCTGCATAATCACCACCTTGGAGACTAAAGACAGAGATGGAAAGTTTTCAGACATTGTTCTGGGCTTTGACCATTTGGAAGGTAGGTTTCAATTAGCATTTTAAAGGAACTTCTACATATAAGTAACACTACATCACAATCTGTTCTCAGTGCTGTCTCTTTAAAAAAAAAACATAAAGTTATGGTAGTTGACAGGATGATTATTAAAGCACTTTTAGGTTATAGAGAGTTCAAGCTTTAACTCTGGGGCTTAAATCCAGAATGTGTTTTCAGAAACTTATTTTATTTAAAACTTTTTTAGACCATCCACTACCGAAGTCTTGAGACAGTTTAACAATACAAAATATAAAATAAAACTTGGCTTAGCTGTTAGTGCTTTTCAGCCACCTAGACTTGTATCAAAGCAATCTGTATGTGGAAAGATTCCCTTTGAAAGCAGTGAAACTTGCAACCTGGCTTAATGTTTATTAATTCAAAAGTAATTCACACTGAATTTAATTGAACTTACGGCCAAGGAAATGTATGTGTAGTGTTCAGCCTTACCTGTATATATCCATTATATGAAGACACAGATATTCCTGATGGGGAAATGCAGTTTTGTAGGAGGCAACTGTGCAGAGAAAAGCAGCAGTGGGAGTAGAGAGGACCATGATTTCACCAATCCAAATCCCTTGCTTCCTTTTTCCTCTAAAAACTTACCTGATATGATAATTTTCTGTGTATGTGTATCTTGGGATGGAGAAGCATTCAGTCATGGGAATCACCTGTCCATAGTCTGAAATGGTACAGCTCAGCCAGGGGCTTATTGCTTCTCCTAGCCACTGAAACCTTTCACCCTGCTTGCCCTACTTTCCAGTGGCCTTACTGATGTCTCTAGAACAGCTGTCTGTATGTGTGCAGTTGTATTTTGCAGCATTTTGCAAAAGTTTCACTGGACAACCAGTTATTGCATGTGGTTCCAGTAAGGTATGTATGAACCTGCCCCCTCCTCTATGTGCTTATGCATGGGGAAATACATGAAGACCACCTGCCCTTTATAAGGGCTATGTTTGAGTCAAAATTGTAAAACAGGGATAGGTAACTTGTGGCTGTCCAGATGTTTTGGCCTACAACTCCCATAGTCTCTCACCTTTGGCTATCCTGGCAAGGCCTAATGTGAGTTGCATGTGCCTGTTGTAATGGGAAACAGGTTCTTTGGGCTTCCTTGGTTGCCACTGCATTGAATGGAGATTGAGAAGTCTCGCCTGGTATTTCAGACATCTCAGCTGAATCTTTTAATCTCTCAGTAGGCTGAGCACTTTCATGGGATAAGGTTTGTACAAGAATCTAGCAAGGGCTAGAGCAACAACCCCTATGAGGATACAACAGAAGGAATGCTGAGTTTAGAACAAAGGCCAGTAAGCAGATACACGATAGGGGTATGTGGATAGGGAGAAGCAATCTTCTGGGGTCAGAAGTGAATTTCATATTCCAGATGTCAGCAAGTAGATGTATATATTTTAAAAAGTGGAAGGGGTGAGACACTTTACTGAGCACCAGGAAAGGTATCTGGAGGTGCATCAGTGTCTGTGGACGGCATGTTGCCTACACCTGATTCAGCCTCTGCACTACATGGTAGCATGGTCCACAACTCTATTGATTTCCAAGGCTGGATAATTTCTGTCTCTGCCATTGAATGAATGGAAACCCTCACATAGAAGAGTCTGGAACCCACCGGTAGCCTTGTTGCTGAATCAGGATTTACTGGGTGACGTATGTGTAGGTAGGGATTTAATCAGTATTTCTTTCATTCTGTATTCTGTTTTTAAATTGCTATACCTTGTTAGCTTCATTTGAAGTTTTGAAATGTTAAATTGACTTTCAGTATTTTTTCTCCCCTTCTCTGTTAGGATACATCAACAAGCACCCCTATTTTGGAGCAGTTGTTGGACGGGTTGCCAATAGAATTGCCAGAGGGAAATGTGTCATAGAAGGACAGGAGTATCAGCTGCCCATCAACAATGGACCCAACAGTTTGCATGGAGGAATAAAAGGTTTTGACAAGGTAAATCTTCTAGTGGTCAAACAGACAAGCATATCAATACTTATGTATTTTCTTCAGTCCATTTATTTTAAACAAACAAGCTCTCTCGGTGCTCATCTTAATGATGCCAGGTCTTCATAAATTGATAAGATTTTCTTCATTGGCATAATAGTTCTGTCAGGTTAACTCGATTTGCACTTAATGCTAATCATTGCTTTAATCCATGGTTTCTTGCCCTACCCAGAGTATGGCACAGGTCTGTTTCCTCCTCCTCCTCTTTCACCTGCTTTGCAATGCTTTAGTGCTGGCATATAGAATTGCTGGGTTTTTGACTGCCCTTGCTCATCACCTCTGTAGCAACCAAGGGAACAACCCACAACTCAAGGTTTCCATGTAGCAACACATGGGTGGAAAGATAGTGTTCATATTGCTGCACAGGAATTTTATGCCCCTTCAGGAAGCAAGTTCATAACAGGGATTCTTCTTGAGCAATCTGTGTCACTTGACGTTCATGTGACTTCCACAGAAAATAGTACCTTCTACTACCTTCAGTTGGTGATACAGCTAATATCCCTGTTTGGACGGGGAAAATCTGACTTTGGCAGTCTATGTCATGGTAACCTTCAGGTTACATTACTGCAGTGTATGTGAAATGGCAGCGACCTTGAAGACATTTCAGAAGCTGCAGCATGTTCAAAATGTACTAGCCAGATTAATAATGTGGAGAAGGAGGTTCTAATTAGTAGCCTCCTGATTATGGATCCAATATCCAAAGAAAGTTTGGATTACTCTGACAAGCTTGGCATGGAACTGCCTCTCAAGAGTGCTTGGAAATGCCAGCTGGTTCAAAGAGCTATTGGAAGATGTTGACTGGCGCTGGCTGCAGGAAGCACATAAAGCCTTTGCTAAAACAGGTTTACTGGCTCCAGTCTGTTTCTGGGCACAATTCCAGTACTGGTTGTGACCTATAAAACACTATAACAGCTTAGGTCCAGGCTATCTGAAAGACTGTTTTGTCTTATGAGCCTGCCCATAATCTGAGATCTTCAGCAGAGACCTTTCTCTTGGTCCCATCTCCTTCCCATGCACACTTGGAGGGAGTATGGGAGAGGGAGGCTGGACTGGTGTTTCCCCTACTAAGCTTTCAGAGGCCAGCAAACACTTTTCTGTTCCAGGAGGCCTTTGGGAATAGTCTGGACCTGTGAAATTGTGCTGGACTGGTTCCATTGTCTATATTGTTGCTATTACTTGATTTTGGTTATTTTCTATACCCTACCTGATTTACCACTTTAACTTTTGAACATTTCTTTTAATGCTTTAAGTGTGTAAGTTTATAATGTTGTAAGCCAGCTTGAGTCTCAGTATTGGGAATAGGCAGAATATGATAATGATACTGTCACTGTCCTGACTCTGGATTAATGCCTCTATTCCCAGGCATTTGACAATGTATAATGAGTAATTTATTTTAGCTATTTTTCTAAGGTCTTGTCTCTTACTGTAACTGTTACAGTAAGATAAAATCTTATTTTATTAAAAATTTCATATTATGCTTATATTTGTGGTTGTAATTTTGAGAATCACAAGTGAGCTTCTATTACTGCATGGTATATAAAGTAATAATACATAAAATTATTAATGCTGATGAATTTGAGTTCACAGCCCAAAAATAAAAAATGGCTTTGTTTTCTGGACTGCCTAATTAATAAGCTGTGGTGTGTTTGCCCAGCTGATTCACACTCCACCCAGACTTCAATTATCCATGAGTTAAATAAACCATGGGTTAATGCTATTTCCACACCAAGCAATTCTATCCAACGTTAAGATCATAAGAATATAAGAAAAGTCATGCTGTATCAGACCAATGGTCCATCCAGTCCAGCACTCCATTTGACCAGAGGCAAAGTGGATGCCCACAAGATCTCAAGCATGATGGGTACAACAGTTGCCTGCCCAAGATCTTCAGCAACTAGTGAATGCAAACATGCCACCTTTGATAATGGAGGTAGCTCATAGCCAGGCTACTGGCCATTGATAGACTTCTTCTCACTTGACTGTAAAGCACCATGTTTTGGCCCAGATGTTCATAGAAACATAGAAACAGAGCAAGTCAGAAGGGACCTCCCGGGCCATCTAGTCTGACCCCTGGCTCCAGCCAGCTCCACTCATGACATGCCCATCATGTGGACGTCCAGCCTATCCTTGAACACCCGCACCGATGGGGCCTCAACGACCTCTCGTGGAAGCCCATTCCACACCCTCGGGGTCCTGACTGTCAGGAAATGCTTCCTGGCATCCAAATTGAACCTTGGTTCCCTGAGCTTTGCTCCATTGGAGTGCGTCCTGCCTTCCTCTGCAGGGGAGAACAGATCTCTACCCACCTCCATGTGACATCCCCTCACATACCTGTATGTTGCCAACAGATCCCCTCTGCGTCTCCTCTTCTCCAGGCTGAAGAGACCCAGTTCCCTCAGTCTCGCTTCATACGGCATCCCCTGCAAACCGGCCACCAACCTTGTGGCCCTACACTGCACTGACTCTAACCTGGCTATATCCTTTCTGTAATGAGGAGCCCAAAACTGAGCACAATACTCCAGTTGTGGGCACACCAGTCGTGTAGAGTGGCAGTAATACCTCTCTTGATCTAGAAGCCACACTTCTGGCTATGCAACCAAGGGTGGCGTTTGCTCTCTTGACCACCGCATCACACTGCTGACTCATGTTTAGCTTGCAATCAACCAGTACCCCGAGATCCCTTTCACAAATGCTGCTCTCCAGCCACTTGTCACCTAACCTGTACTTATGACACCTATTCCTATGCCCCAAGTGCAAGACCTTGCACTTATCCACATTGAACATCATCCTGTTGTCTCCTGCCCACTTCCATAGTCTGTCCAGATCCTTTTGGATCTGGAGTACCTGCTCCTCAGTTGTGGCCACTGCTCCAATTTTAGTGTCGTCCGTGAATTTGATCAGCAGACTGTTCACCCCTTCTTCCATGTCATTAATGAAAAGATTAAACAGGATCGGCCCCAGGATAGAGCCCTGGGGGACCCGCTTGTCACTGGCCGCCATCCTGATGATTCCCCACTAATGGTTACCTTCTGCTTTCGGTCAGTCAACCATGCCCTAATCCACTGGACAGTGCTTTGGTGTATCCCAAAACTCCTCAGTTTCTCCACCAGGATATCATGGGGCACTTTGTCAAAGGCCTTGCTGAAATCCAGGTATACCACATCCACTGCATCCCCTCCATCTAGCCATCTCGAAACCTTGTCAT